TATCACTAAAGTTATCATGATAACTTAACGTATTATCACTATGGTTATCACGATAACTTAACAACTATATCACTATTTGTTATCAAAACTTAACATATTATCAATAAACTATCCGATCCATTTACCTTTCCCTATTGGATCGTCAGGTGCATCGCATGCGTGTATTGTAGGCGTCATCCTTGGTTCTTGAGCAGTCACGGGGTTACCATCGAGTCGGATCACCAGTCGGCTATTCGACATGTTTGCCCGCGTAGGACATCTACTCTCACTTGCGATTGATTTCCCTTTGTCTCGCACCCCTTCTCCTGCTCTGTAAACCGGGACTCCTTGCAGCGGGTTGTTAAAACCCCCGGTAAGTTTGCATCTTCCACGGTTACTTGTGGGTCCATATTTTCACTTGTACTAGTAACAAAACAATGAGTTATTCATGTGATTATTCTATTTTAAGTTTGTGTGATTGTTCTGCTGTACCAATCAATGAGATAGCAGTGTTGGTCAGAACAACAAAATCAGAGCTCCCATCAGACAAAGTTGACATGTAACTGTTATTTGATGAGGTCGATGAGAATCCTGCAAACAAGGCGGCTTCACTCTGATCTAAGTTTCCCCGACAAACGCTCCAGCTAAGGTCAACTGTAGACTCTTTTCAACATTATGTGCTCTTCTATGGTGAGTTTTGGCAGGTACAGCATCACCACCCCTTCTCTCCCTTGCTCCTATATCACGTAGCATCAAAGTTGACTGCGTCGGAATATTTGTTGGTCTTGGGTCGTTTGTTGTTGTCTGTGTGAGCGTATCCGCGCCTGAACGGAAATATCACCAGAGGTGTGCCAAGTCCGTTGACACTTGATCACACCTCGTACTTGTCCCAACCCCTTCTCCAGTGGATGTTATCCCTGTTACAAATATCATAACCTTTAGTTAACCAAGTTGTCGTTCTACCTACATAATCACTGGATGTGAATATTACCTAACACAGATTTTGGTGATGGCGCAGCACTTCCAGATGTATCGTTAACTGGACTACCTGAAAACAGTTATCAATATTAGCTACTCGCTTGCTTATCATTTGTATACATGTTTGTCAACTACTGCTTCGTAAACTCCCTCACTCTCACCTGGACTCGTCAGAAATGTGACAAAAGGACCTGCCGCTCCGGCGCCTACAATTACCATGTGTTGTTCGTCGTTCAGCAGAAGTGGTGGAGTTGTCTGTTTTCCGCTACCTAGTGTACCTGAAAACACAAATAACGTCATACAAACATTGTTAAATGGACTACCCGCACACAGTTATCAAGATTTGCTATGCGCTTGCTCTTCATTTTTATAAATGCCATTCAATCTATTTCTTCATAAACTCCCTCACTCTCACCTTCAGTCGCCGGAAATGTGACAGAAGGACCCACTTCTTTTTGGCCTTCAGTCCCCACAAGTTGGTCGTTGTTTAGTGGAAGTACTTGGTTTGGTTGTTTTTCGATATCCAGGTTACCTGAAAATACAAATAACTTTATATTAACATTGTCAATATTATTATACATCTTCTATTCAAAAATAATTTACCAACCTATTTCGGCGGTTTGGAACACATGTAACGGCCACCTATTCAAATCAGTAACTCGGTTTGACTTTTCGTTGCTCGCTCTTTAAGTGTTTCCTCTCTCAGGTTTTTGCCGTCCTAACGCTGCCACCGAGTCGGAGTTTACGTTTCTCTCTGTTCCTACTGGTATTATTCTAGAATGCAAGAACACTTCGTCTATGTCTGCTCTGATGGCTAGAAATAGTTCAACTTCATCATCGTTAACCATGTTTATTGGTTGTGCCTTCCTCCATTGTGGTCCCAGCATCTAGTGCGGCCATTGGTATGTTAACTCAACCTCGTCACCCGGATGAAGAAGCTCAGATTTGACTGACTTCTCTATCTTTGTGAAATCGTCTTTCTCCTTCACCGAGATAGAGTAGTTGAAGACGTGAACATCGAGTATATGATCCCATCTCCCCTCCGAATCCTTGACCCAGAACCCACGGTTAACTCTAACCTCCATTGGCAATCCTGCGATTTTTGATGTCATAAATATCAGCTAAGTTAGTTAACTTTCTTTGAACATAATGACCACAACAAAACAACGAGGTTTAAAAACTCATATATATATATATATATATATGTTATCGGTATTAACTGTCGTTGTCTTCTACGCAGCTGTTGAAGTTAACAATCACCGAATTCAAACCACCAAACACAGTAAATGCTTTCAAACAAGTTGACGGTATTTTTTTTCCTCTGATTTTTTTTTTCCCAGTTGTTACGCCAACTGATGTACCACCATTAAATAGGGGAGTAAAACTTCTCTGTAACTTCAGTTCCCCTTTAACCCTGGTAAAAAATATTCTGTATTGATAATTTCCTAATCTCTAAGCTTGTATTTGAACGGTCTATATTACTTGCGCAGTCGGCATAAGATTGGATAAGGATTTCGTCAAAGCTGTAAATATTCTTATTGTTCATGATTACAGATAGGGTCATTTAATGTGCCACCATCTCTCTCTCCAGCGATACAGCTTTAATATAAGGGTATAACGGGCTACAAAGCCCAAACGTAATTGTAGATATCCAATTTCAGGAAATGGGTTTATATATCCTTAATTTTTTCAGTATCTGTTGATATGTCCCGCTTCACTTTTCTATCCTCCATAAATCTTTTTTGTAAGAATTTAATATTTTTTTCTATCTAGTCATAAATCTTTTTTGTAAGGATTTGATTTTGATGAACTATTCGGTCCATCAAACTTTCTGTTCTGATGAACGTTTTCTGCATTTTCATCACTGCTGCCTGCGAGCACTCCTTTTCTCTGTTCCGGTGACATTCGATCATCATCCTCAATCAACCTCTGTTCATGTTTAGCATTTGCAGCAGCCATAAATCTTTGAGTTTCGAAATCTACTGTCAGTAGATTCGAAAAATCATGTGAATCCTATCAATAACAACACAATAATTCAAATAAAAAGGTTAAAACTGATTATCAGGATTTGCAGTGTTCATCACGATAACAACGACAACGATGTTCAAGTATAACACGTTAATTTGTAAAAGCTGAGACCAAAATTATAGAGACAACAACTCTTACAAAATTATCCATTGAATCAACTCTGCCTCAGGCTTTCAGCTTGGATCGGCTCTTTTACTTTGCTCTGAAACAACTAACTTTCTCTGTTTACAATCTACGTCGAACACTGTTGTTAGGTCAAATATGTTTAAAACTCGAACACTCTACTACAGAGAGAGGGTTTAAATTGGCTTTGATTGATTAAATAGACCGGTACCAATTTATTAAAGCTTCCAAACCATTAAAAATTAAAACCGCGGACTAAACCCGCTAACCCAGGAATCCGTACTGGTCTAACCCACTAAACCCGTTAACTACGACAGGCTAAACCGCAAAATCCGCTAATTAATAGGTTAAAAAATTTTAACCAGGTACGTTCCATGACAGATCTAGATGGACCGAACCCGCAGTTCTATAACCCGTTTGACACCCTTACATATTTGATCTTATAGTGTCTAACAAATAAAACAAAAAACAAAAAAAAAGTTTATATTTGAAAGGCTTCTCACCAGAATATAATAACGGTTGTTTTTGTTTACAAATTAAAAACTTAGAAGTCAAATCCTAAAAACAGTCAACAACTATTTCTAAATTTACGATCTTAAAACAACAAATTTTTGACAGTCATTTACCATTTAGCAAAATATATATATATAAGCCAAATTTAAAATTGATAGAAGTAAGAGAAACTTAATATTCTAGATATAACCATAGATTTATCTTATTTATATACTAATGCAGCTCACATACATCAAAACAAACATAGTTTTAAAACAGAATATTAATTGAAAACAAAGATTTACATAAAAAGATTAAACACTTGAAAACAGAGGAGCACATCAATATATGTAATTGAAACTTAGTTCTATGTTGTTATACTTTGTAGCCGTAGATCTATCGTATTCATATACTAATGCATCTCACATATATCAGATGATAAAAATTACATCTGTTAATTGTAATTGTTAAACCAAAATATCAATTGTATAATTGTGGTTGTCCTATTTGCTTTTAGTTAGTTATGAGACTTTTGGTTGAAGAAACTTGCAATCAAACAGAAATTGAACTTTTGTTCACTTTTTTGTCTAGTGCAGATTTTGATTTACATATGAATATTTGAACAAAGTATAATTTTAAATTTGATTATTCAAGATATTAGAATCATTAAAAAAATCTAAATCAAAATTGACTCGAAAACTTAACTGATTTACATGAAAACAAAAAAGAAATTGAGAAATAAAAAAATAGTAAATTTGAGATACATTATTTTGTTTGTTTTTTTGTAAAGTTAACAAATACTGTATCTCATTGTGAGTTATTACAAACAAGAATGTTGTGCCATTAAAGAAAACCGTGAATATTTCTCTTTAGTTTTTGCTAAAATTTAATTTTTAGTCGTTTGGTTTTTGTTATTTTACAAAAAATCGTACTTACTTTTCCGTATTGATATCATTTTGGCTTTGATTTTTATTTATATATGAAGCTAATTATAAATTAATACATTTTGGTTTTAAGAACACATACGACTTTGAGTTTCAGTCACATGTCCTTCATTTTTTTTTGTAAGAGTTAAAATAAGAACATAAAATCACTGGAACCCGCACAAATTTGTCGAGAACCGGCCAAATCACTAGCGTCTATTGAAATCTTTTGTCGAGAAAGAAAAGGTAATGAAGATCAATATTTATTCCCGGATCTGAATTTCGTATTTCCCTCCGTTGGATTCATTTTGCAAGTTACGATCATAAAAATTCATTAATTAAACGAGATAAAATATACATATGGTGACAATAATCGCAAGATCTGAAGAATTCAAATTCTCTCTCTTTTAACGGCTCTCTCTTCTCTCTCTCTACTCACCCTTCGTCCTCGCTCTTTGCCCGAACACTAGGGTTTCACTGACGCTCTTGCAGAAGCAGATTCGCTTTTTCTCCCCTATTTTTCTTACTCTGGAGGAATCTAATTGTTGATTTCACGGCGAAATGAAGCACTTCATGTTGCCAAGAAACGCTATCTTGCGCGACGGCGGAGAGCCGCCGCACTCGCCGAGCCCTAGTTTGTCGAAATCGAAACCCCCACGCAAAACTAGATCCGCCAAAGAAAACGCTCCGCCTCCTGAGCACAACTCGTTTACCCTCGACCATAGGCCGGCGACGAAGATGAAGAGTCCGTTGCCTCCGCGTCCGCCGCCGTCGTCTAATCCTCTCAAACGGAAGCTCTCTGCGGAGGCTGCGGCGGAAAACGTCGTTACTGGAGTTTCTGACTCTGGTGTCAAGGTAATTTCACCGGATCATTTGAACTTTTTTCTTCTTCCTTTCTTCTTAGAAACTAGGCAATGTCGAGCCAAATCTCAAATTAGGTCATGTCGAGGGACATCTATCTATCAATTCGATCCAGTTGAAGAATGTTCTTAGAAATTAGGGAATGTCGAGCCAAATCCCTAATTAGTTCGGTTTCTGATAGCGAAACTTGGTGAAGGTGACTTCTTTAAGTACTGGTTTTCTGATAAATGGGACACAACTTGTTTTAGTATTTAGCCAAGTGTGAATTATTTGCTGTTGAATATCTCAAATTTGTTATTGGAGTTGCATAAGGTGATCAAATTGAGTCAATCTTCAGGTTATAGTTAGAGTGAAGCCTCCAAACAAAGGTGAGGAAAGCGATATGGTTGTACAAAAGATAGCAAAAGATTCCCTTACAATTAGTGGGCAAACTTTCACATTCGACTCAATTGCTGATCCAGAGTCAACACAGGCAAGATATCTGTTTACATTTTTTCTTGTTGCCATTGTCATCGTATGATGATTTTTGAATCTCTAATTCTTTCTTCTGTTGTTTTCAGGAGCAAATGTTTCAGCTTGTGGGAGCGACTCTTGTTGAAAATTGTCTATCTGGGTTTAACAGTTCTGTATTTGCCTATGGACAGGTAGTTTTCGTTTCCCAAAGTCTTCCTTTGAGGCAGAGTTCCATTTCTTTCTCAGACTGTAATTGTGACTGCAACTTTTAAATTTGACTGATCATGAAACTATTCCCATCAGACTGGGAGCGGGAAAACGTATACCATGTGGGGTCCTGCAAATGGATTGTTGAAAGAGCACCTCAGTGGTGATCAAAGAGGTTTGACCCCACGCGTCTTTGAACGCCTGTTTGCCCGAATCAAAGAGGTGACGCATGGTTTTTGTTCAATTCGCGGTTTTGAACTTGTACAAAGATTAGCATATTCAGAAGTAGATTCTTTTTGGTATGCAGGAACAAGTCAAGCATGCTGAGAGGCAACTCAATTACCAGTGCCGCTGTTCATTACTCGAGGTTCAGTGAGAGGATGCATACCTTAAATTTGGACGGTGTTTGAAAGTTCGTCCATACATAATGTCATTTCCTTTTGTTCTGTTGCAGATTTACAACGAGCAAATAACAGATTTACTGGATCCGAGCCAGAAAAATCTGATGGTAAAAGGAACTTTCAAATTCAACTTGACTTATATTCTTAAAAAAAATGGGGTTCATAGTTTTTCATTTATGTCTCACCAGATTAGAGAAGATGTTAAGTCAGGTGTTTATGTTGAAAATCTGACTGAGGAATACGTGAATAACTTGACAGATGTGTCACAGCTTCTGATTAAGGTTTGTTATACTTTTTGGTTTCTCTCTGACACTTATTTCTGTTTGATTTGCAATATTTTTGAAGTACTTGATAACAAAAAGCTGCATTAAAAGTACACAAGGATACCAGTTTCCAGGTGTCATATCTTTGTACTTCTCTTCAATTTTAGTAAAGCAATGTGAAACCTTGTTTTGTTAGAAAGAGGAAATGGCCACAAATCATATAGAACGCTGACGTTTATGTTGTGATGCTGTGTAAATCGAATATGACAAAAAAGTATACCTTTTAGAAATATAGAAGTTACTATTCTTTATTTGACAAATATATTGAATGGCCAAGATAGTTTATGGTCTGAGAAAAGTATTTTTGATAGTTAGAATTGTGTATGAAACTGGTGTAGGGTTTGGGAAATAGAAGGACTGGTGCAACGAGTGTGAATGCAGAGAGTTCAAGGTCACATTGTGTATTTACTTGTGTTGTTGAATCCCGATGCAAGGTAGGCTATTCTTCTACAGTAAAATTTTTCATATTACTAGTGGCTTTTTAAGAGTAAGCTGTGAAGCTGAGATGCTAGTAGTTTTTTTTGTTTTATAGATTCGTCTCATTCTTTGAATGTACTTCCAACAGAACGTTCCAGATGGGTTAAGCAGCTTTAAGACAAGCAGAATAAACCTTGTTGATCTGGCTGGTTCTGAACGACAAAAATTAACTGGTGCAGCAGGAGAACGTCTGAAAGAAGCTGGGAATATTAATCGATCGCTCTCTCAGCTTGGGTATGATTCAGAGTACTCTCCATATCTGTGTGTCTATATATACCCTTGTTGTTGTTAATTTTGCATCTCATTTAGTATGGAAGTTTTCTATTTTTGATACTGCAGAATGCGCTAGAATTCTAGTTTCTTATGCTGAAGTGCTGACACTTTGGGATAATGGAACATAATATGAAAACTGATGGTAGTAGCGTAGCTTTTGCTGTTCTGCTGTCTTCTAGTTTCTGATACTGCAGGAGGCACTAGAAATCTAGTTTTTGATGATACAGAACTGAAACTTTGAGATAATGAAAATAATACCTGAAAACTGATGGTAATAGCGTAGCTTCTGAGGTTCTTTTGTCCTTTAAGCAGTGCTCTTCATTTGATATTAGTAAAATAACAACTACATGTTTACCATACAAATTGTTACGTGCAGGAACTTGATAAACATACTCGCAGAGATTTCTCAAACAGGGAAGCCAAGGCATATACCTTATAGGGATTCCAAGTTAACATTTTTACTGCAAGAGTCTCTTGGTGGAAATGCAAAGTTGGCGATGGTTTGTGCAATTTCTCCGTCATTGAGGTAACACATGACCCCCCTATATCCACTTCAACAAATTATTCTATCCACCATCTTCTGCAATATAAAGTAGGTACCGAAAATTGCAGTTCCAAGAGCGAAACCTTCAGCACCTTAAGATTTGCTCAGCGTGCAAAGGCAATACGGAATAAGGCTGTCGTCAATGAAGTGATGCAAGATGATGTAAATTTCTTGCGTGGAGTAATACGGCAGCTGAAGGTACGCATTCTCTTACATAATTTATAAGATATAAATATAAATGTGAATATGGCTTTTAATGGATAAATTGAACAGGATGAACTACAAAGGATGAAGGATGATGGAAATAATCCAAGCAATCCAAATGTAGCTTATTCCTCTGCGTGGAATGCACGTAGAAGTTTGAGTATATTAAGAAGCTTTGGTCTGGGTCATCCAAGAACCTTACCTCATGAAGATGATGACGGAGATATTGAGATGGAAATTGATGAGGCTGCTGTTGAAAGGCTTTGTGTTCAAGTGGGTCTGCAATCATCTTCAGCTTCCAAGGATATGAACAGAGTAGAGAGTATACGTACATCCCTACAAACCCGTGAGGAGGGAACATACAACAAATCGCATCCTAAATCATCTGATGGCCAATCCACAGAAAAGCGATCTCCTGAGGACACAGATGTTGCCATGGAGGATGCTTGTTCTCAATCTGAGAACCATGAACCAGAAACAGTGGTTAATGTGAGAACTGACACAGAGACCGGCATCACAGCAGATCAGATCAAGACACCCTTGCAAACTTTGGATCACGACTCCAATTTGCAGCCTCTTTCAATCAATGATGCTCTTTGTTCTCCACTGAACGAGACAGAGGATGTGCCATCATGCCCTGACTTGGTCCCGGAAGACGGTGCTTCTGCAAATGCATTGAGAGCTGATGGAGTAAATGATCCAGAGCACTTAGTAAATTCTGCATCTCCTAGTCTTTGTGTAGGTCCAGTTGGTACTGCTCCTGTATTAAAATCTCCCACACAGAGCGTCTCCCCTACAATTAGAAATAGCAGGAAAAGCTTGAGGACATCGGAAATGTCAACAGCATCTCAGAAGGATACTGAGGGAGATAAGTTAGTTATGGATCCTGCGGACCCATCTCCGGCTATATCCAAAATGATGATGAATAACTGTTCTAGTGCTGTGTCTACACAGAAGAGCAAAGTTTTTCCTGTACGGACCGAGCGTTTGGCAGCTAGCCTCCACAAAGGAATTAAACTTCTTGAGTCGTATAGCCAGAGTACAGCTCAAAGACGATCGACGTTCAGGTTTTCCTTCAAAGCTCCAGATAGTAAGCCTTCAACCTTCATAAGTAAGGCGGATGTAGGTGTGCAGACCTTTCCTGAAGCTGATACAACATCAGAGGAGAATACAAAAGAATTTCTGTGCAGTAAATGCAAATGCAGAGAAAAATTTGATGTCCAGCAAATGGGTGACGTGCCGAATCTTCAGTTAGTGCCTGTTGACAACCCGGAATTGACAGAAAAATCCAAGAGCCAAGTTCCCAAAGTAAGAATAGTGGCATTCATCTGAAATAGACGTAGAAATTCGAGGTTTTTTGTTTCCACATTCATATATTGTGTGCCTCCAAATGATGGGACGATTTTTACACTTTACAGGCAGTGGAAAGGGTTCTAGCAGGATCTATCAGGAGGGAAATGGCTCTTGAAGAGTTCTGTACTAAACAAGCCTCTGAGATAACCCAGCTTAATCGACTGGTATGACACTTGATTCTTTTCTCTTCTTTTAGTTTCCCTATGCTCTTTATAACTGTATCCTCGAACACAAATTGGTCCAAATCGTGCAACAGGTACAACAATACAAACATGAGAGGGAGTGCAATGCCATCATAGGACAAACAAGGGAGGACAAAATCATTCGCCTTGAAAGCCTTATGGATGGGGTATTATCTAAGGAGGATTTCCTGGATGAAGAATTTGCTTCTCTTCTGCATGAACATAAGGTAAGTGTGGGTTCTTTGTTTTCCGGATGGTAATTTTTGACCCGACTCCGAAAGCTTTCTCTGACATATCATGTTGCAGCTTCTGAAGGACATGTATCAGAATCACCCTGAAGTGCTGCAGACGAAGATTGAGTTGGAACGAGCGCAAGAAGAGGTCGAGTGTTTCAGGAACTTTTATGGTGACATGGGAGAAAGGGAAGTGTTGTTGGAAGAGATTCAGGATTTGAAGATGCAGCTACAATGTTACATTGACCCTTCTCTTACATCAGCTAGGAAAACATGTTCCCTGCTTAAGCTTTCATACCAGGCTCCCCCAGCTACCACGATTGTTCCTGAATCACTGAACAAGAGTCTTGAGAAGACATTAGAACAGGAAAGACTTCGTTGGACTGAGGCAGAGACCCAATGGATTTCTCTCGCCGAGGAATTGAGAACCGAGCTTGAAGCCAGTAAAGTGGTGATGAATAAGCAGAAACATGAACTTGATATCGAGAAAAGATGTGCGGAAGAGTTGAAAGAAGCGATGCAGATGGCCATGCAAGGGCACGCGAGGATGCTCGAACAATACGCAGACCTGGAAGAGAAGCATATGCAATTGCTTGCGAGACATAGAAGGATTCAAGAAGGAATCGACGACGTTAAAAAAGCAGCTGCGAAAGCCGGAGTCAGAGGAGCAGAGTCCAGATTCATAAACTCACTTGCATCAGAAATCTCGGCCTTGAAGGTAGAGAGAGAGAAGGAGAGACAATACTTGAGAGATGAGAACAAAAGTCTCCAGACACAGCTAAGAGACACAGCTGAAGCCGTACAAGCAGCTGGAGAGTTACTTGTTCGGCTTAAAGAAGCTGAAGAAGGCTTGTCAGTTGCGCAGGTAACGTTTCTCTTAACTTCTGATTATTACATTTCTCTTAAACATATCAAACCGAATTCTTGATCGAGTCTGTTGCATATCTGGATTGTGTCAACAGAAACGAGCGATGGATGCAGAGTACGAAGCTGCAGAAGCATATAGAAAGATTGACAAGCTCAAGAGGAAGCATGAAAACGAAATCAACACACTTAACCAATCTCATATGCACAAAGAATGTTCTACCAAATGTGATCAAGCCGTGGAACCATCGGCTGATGCAAATGAGCAGCAATGGAGAGATGAGTTTGAGCCGCTTTACGAGAAAGAAGCCGAGTTTTCAAAGCTTGGTGAACCTTCTTGGTTCTCGGGTTACGACCGGTGCAACATTTAATTCTAACTTGCCACTACTATTTTTGTGTAATGTGTATAAAAATGGGTGTCTGATTCTGTGATGATGTAAAAGTCCAAAAAAAAGGTTGCACTTGCTTCACACAAACTCATTCTAATCTTTATCTCAAATCTAGTATGATCTGATCCATCAGTTTACACAACTTAATCTGCCTCTTTTGTAATAACAATACAACAAAGTTCTTGTTCTACCACTCTTTTTACAGACGATGAATTTTTACAGACAAACAGATATTAAATCCAAAAGATGGTCAGTAATCATCATTTCTTTGATCATCTCTCTGGCTCAAGTTTCATATGAATCGTTGGTTCAAAACCTGACACATACAACCAAATGACAAACGTAACAGAGATATTATTAGACATCTCAAAAACAAGAATTCAAATGTAAAAACTTTCTTTGTGTTTACTTACAGTTGGTGTTCTCTTGCTGAATATCTCTGAAACCCATCTGAACAATACTCTGCAGATCGTTTTCCCAGAAAACCGGTGCCTAAAAAGAACACAACAAACAGTCAGAGGAAGAACAGTGAGAATTTTTACACTATGACCAAAAAGTATCTTCATTATTTAAACTACCTCAGCGTGAACAAATCCACCATTTGAAGCACTAGACGAGTTTAGGAACTGAGTTTGAGTCTCAAAGAATCTTGGAATGTTCTTGCCAAGAGATAAATACTCTGAAGGAAGTCTTGCCTCTGAGCATGATATCGCCTGCGTTAATGACTCTCCAAGCTGCAACATCTAAGCATAATCTCAGATACAGAACATTCTCAACAAGAAGCAGAGCCAGTGTTTTGCTATAAACATTTTTGTTAAAGCAAAAGTACCTCTGCGGATAATAGAGCATTAGCATTGAACTCCGTTATTGGATTTATAGTTGCCAACTTCATAGATAAGAACTGAAGAAGTAAAGAGTTTCAGAAAATAAGAAACACACAGCTCCATGGATTAAGAACAATATAATGGGGATTGGATTATACCTCGACTTGTGTCTGCAACGACTGCACATAATTTATAATTTCATCAAGCATGACAGCTTTCCCAGTAATCCGGTTGCAACCAGGAACCAAATCTTGAAGCAACTTCATTCTCTCGCTAATCTTTTCTCTTCTTGCCTATTCCAAAATCCAATACTACACATCAAAAACATTACAATTCAAAAGAAGATAATGAGTTTCTACGGTTTCAGTACCCTTTCAGCGATACTGTGGCTATCGGTTGCTTGACCTCTTCTTGCTCTTACATGTATATAATCTTTGCGCGGCTCCTCTTTGTTTTCGCTCTTTTCAGTCTCATTTTGCTTGCTTCTCTTGCAAGCTTTCTCTTCTGAAATCTGAACACAACTCAGAAACACTCAAAACATCAGAATTTACGAAATCTAGATATCAAGAACATACCTAAAAGCACATTTACAAATAATGTCCAAGAGTTAAGTTTGGAAAAACCTTGGAATTGGAAGCTGTGAGAGACGAGGAAGCTGGAGACTCCTTTTCATTTCCAGTGGGAATCGATTTTCTCTTCCTGGAGTTGTGTCTGGTCTTATCTTGATCAGAAACCGAATCTGGATCCAGTAACGAGCTCTTGTTGCTCTCCTGTGTTGTTGGCTGCGAACCCAGGACCTGATTGGATCCGAATTGTGCTGGATACGGGAATCGAATTGGGAAATCCTCAGAGAAGTGGGAGAGTGACAATGGTGTTATCTCTTGCGTGTCGCAAAATCTTCCTAATGGTAATAAGCAGTTTAGGGTTTCTTCTGTTTCCTTATCCATAGTCAAAATCTAAAAGATAACAGTTGCAGACAAAAATGAGAAAACTTTCTACAACTCGAAACTAAGAGAAAGAGAAAGAGAGAGTTTTTATGGAAACAGCTAAATCGACAAGTAAAAGAGACATAAGAGACCAAATTTCTAGAGAGAAAGAGAGAGTTTTTATGGAAACAGCTAAATCGACAAGTAAAAGAGACATAAGAGACCAAATTTCTAGATGATTCTTCTTCTGATGAATTACTCTTTTCCCAAAATTTGAAACGAGTTTAAGATCAAACGAGCAAATGTAGAAATTATCAGAAAGAAAAAGAAAAGGTTTTACCTTTTTTCTGCAATTCGCACAGTTACTGAAGATAATCCGGAAATGGGATTAAGAAAATTTGATGAGAGAATGAGAGGAGCAGACCCAGAAAAAGATAGAGGCTCAAGAACTGATTATGAGCAATCACGGGATCAATCAGAGAGGAGACAGTGACATTTAGCGATGAATGAGGAAAGATGATTAATTCGAGAAACTGACAAAAGAGAAAAAAACTAAATTTTACAGTTTTTCAAAAGAATCGTTGGTAGTGAAAGTTGGTGGGCAGCTCACAGATCCCTTTGAAATGATTGGAGAGAGATTAAAAAACTGTTAATTGTATTTAAATTATGTATTATTTTCTACCAAACGATTATACTAATAGTAATTTAGAAGTTAAGACCTCAATGAAACATGGCAAAATGGTGTTTGGTTTGTCTAACTGTTTGTCTCCACTCTCTACGCTCAAAAGTCAATAATTGAGAGTTGACTGTGTGGAAGGTTAGATCTTGAATATGATGATTTCTTCTAGTATTAAAATGCAAATTTTGATTTCCAAATACTTAGAGATTTTGTATCTAACCTATGAAAAAGACACTACATTAATTTGCTAGGTTATGCAAGAACAGAGGAGAGGAGGTTTTTCTTTTATAAACTCTATCAGCTGATCAAGTTAGCTTTGGTAGGAACACACCATAGTGTTAAAGTGTGGGTTATGGTTCAACATAAGTTTGGATATTTTTATAAATATCGATAAAAAACCAAATCGAAACCGATCCAAAATAATCGGTTCGGATTATGATTCAGATCAGGTCATTTTATCCGATGATAATTTTTTTCAGAACCGTGGATATCGGCTCAGTTCCAGGTAAAAACTGAAAATCCATCGGTTATTCGGATTACCCGAATATCGAATTCTTCATATTATATAATCTATGGTTGTATATATACATACTTAATACATATATGGTATAAAACTTATATAATATATACTTAAAAACTTTAGGTTATATTTCGCTGATTTAGAGTTGTCGATAGAAATCCCGAATCCCCCACAATCTCAAATCTCAACCTTCTTCTCTTTTACAAGTTCTCCAAATACACTAACATCTGTTCCGAGCCCGTTTTGCCATCACCGTCATCAGCCTCGTCGTGAATTTTATCAGAGGTTCATCTACATTTGGTTTAGTTCAAATACATCTGTCGATTTCTCAATTCTTTCATCTCTTCTATCTTTTCATCAGTGTTAGTGATTCAATTCATCTACTTTTGTATAATCTGATATGTAATTTCAGTTTTCGTTTTCCTTGATAGATTAGAAAGTTCATCTACTTCAATCTCTATTTCTCTTAACTCATTGATATATGCTCGTCGTTTTGCAGATGGCTTCTTGCGAACATAAGGATCCAATGGATGAAGAAGATGATGCACTTGAAACAGACGATGATGTTGAAATAACTAATACCGGAAATAAAGGAAAGAGGAAAGAAAATGAAGGTGCAAGTGGTTCTGCTTGTAAAAGGAAGAAGACAAGGTCCAAAGTTCAGGAGCACTATACCAGACACAAGAAGAATTACGACCAATGCAGTTGTAATTACTGTTGTAAGGAATTTGCATGTTCAAGCAAATCGGGCACATCCAACCTTAGGAAGCACAACATTTCTGGATGTAAGGCGTATCAAGCTTGGACTGCTGCTAACCAAACTGTGATAACTCCTACTGGTGATGATGGAAATATGGGTTTAGGTAAGGTTTCAGAACATGTCTTCAGAGAAGCTACGAATGAGATGTTGGTGTTAGCTGAGTTGCCTTTAGCGTTTATAGAGAGCTTAGCTTGGAAGCATTTCACCACAAAGACTAAACTATACAGTCCTCACTCTTGGAGAACAGCCACAAGAGACATTGTAGAAATGTATGTTTCAAGGAAAGCTGCTATGAAGAGGATCTTGGACAGAATAAGCAGAGGTTGTCATTGACAACAGACATATAGACTGCTCCTACTACTTCAGCCAGTTATATGGTCATAACAGCTCACTTTGCCGATGCTTCTTGGCGGTTAACAAAGATTTTAAGTTTCAAGAATATTGATGATCACAAAGGTGCAACTCGGATAATAGTATCTCTCAAACTTTTAATTTGCCTTTTCTTTTTGCTTGTTGATGATGCAAAACTGCCGATGCTTCTTGCTTTTGATTTGTGAAGTTAATAATTGTAATGCAGTTTCAACGATTTTGAAGGTTTTAATTCAGTGTTTGGAAGAGTGGGACATCAAGAGGGTCTTCTATATTACCGTAGATAATGCTACAACAAACAGTTCAGCTATGAGGAGATTCAAAGCAGCTTTTAGTAAAGTTGGAGATGATGCGATGATTCTCAACGGAGACTATCTTCACTTAAGGTGTGCTACACACATATTGAACTTGATCTTGAAGGAAGGCTTGCAAGAGGTGGATCACAATGTTGTTGCTATTCCTAATGCTATTCATTATGTGAGGTCCTCTACAAACAGAACGAAGGCGTTAGAGTTTAGAGTTGAAACCGAGAAAATGACTAGAGGAAGCTTACCTTTAGATATGAATACAAGGTGGAACTCTACTTATCTCATGCTAGATCAAGCTCTGAAATTCAGATCGGCTTTTGAGAGGATTAAGGCGGTAGATAAGCCTTATATCGACTTCTTTTTACAGAAACTGTGGAAGGGAAAAAGAGACTCGGACCACCTTGTAAGAGTTATTGGGATGCAATAGACAGGTTCGTCCATTTCCTTGTGATTTTCTACAATTCCACATTGATTCTTTCTGCATCAACTTCAGTGGCTGCACATAAACTTTATAATGAGATAGTCACTATAACAACAAACATCAATGAGTTAAAGACGAATCCAGCTTCTGATTCTGAGTTGATTAGTAAAGCCATTTCGATGACTAAGAAACTGGAAAAGTATTGGGATCTGTTTGCGATAAATGATGGGGATAAGACTGTTGAGATGAACAAGCTTTCTATGGTGGCAACTGTTTTTGACCCGAGGAAGAAGATGAAGTTTCTTCTGCTCTGCTTCAAATCGCTATATGGGAAAGACATCGTCAAAGCTACTCACCTTTACGATGAGGTCGAGAGTATCTTTAAGCGTTTGTTTGATGAGTACACTATTTTTGCGGATAAAGCCAATGATAGTGGATCACAAAAAACATCTTCTCAGGCTCATGGATCATCTTTGCAGTCACAATATCTGTCTAGAGGTGAAGCTGTGGATAAAAGGAATCTCAAAACCGGTATTGGTTATAAACGAATGGATGATATATATCAGGAACTTGTAGAAGAATCAGGTGTAGAAGATTCAACGAATGAGTTGGAGCTGTATTTGAAATAGACTGTTGACAAACCAAAGTTGATGAAGGGTTCTGAATATGATATCCTATCATGGTGGAAGCGAAATAGTGGTAAGTATCCGATCTTGTCATTAGTCGCTAAGGACTTACTCGCAATGCAAATGTCATCAGTAGCTTCAGAATCGGCTTTTAGCACTAGTGGTAGGGTTTCAACCCCTTACAGAAGCTGTTTGGCACACTACATGGTTGAAGTTCTGATGTGTACTGAGCAATGGTTAAAGTGCGAGATTTATATCAATGAAAGGAATGGTAACCATTCAACATATGCTTTCAAATGTGGAGTTAGAAGATGAGCTTGTGAGAAGTAAGTAACTCTCTCTTTTTTCATTTCACTTTATGATTATGATTTATAACTATATCTTCATTGTCTTTCGTCAGAGTATGAACCTGAATTCAAATTTCAAGGATGGAAAACATGAGAAAGAGTCTGAGCCGGTGGTGATATCATAGGTTCTTTGGAGTTTGGACTCTGGACTTGGGGACTTTTGGAGTTTGGAATTTGATACTTTGTGTTCTTTGTATTTTGGATGATTGTTTTCTTCATGGTTTGTGGCTTTGTGACTTGTGTTTAGACTTTGGAATGTTGGTACTTGTTGGAAACTGTTTTAGGATTATGAGTTGTGGCATGACTTGAATCAGAATGGTTTTTTTATTTTTTTTTTGGATTGGAGTGGAATTTTCGGATAAAATCATGGGTTTCAGATTTTTTTTTTTGTCACTTCGGTGTAATTTTCATTCATTTTGGATACAAAATTTTGGTTTTGGATACAACAAAAAAACCGAACTACAAAGTACCCAATTTTTTCTGGTATTTATCGGATCTACAATTTAAGAACCGAACCGACCCGAAACTGAGAGGACTCGAACCGAATCCAAAACGAAATAATTTCGGTACATATGTGGATAAAATATCTATATATCCGAAATATCTGGAACCGAACAGTTCCTACCCGGACCCAAACCGTTTATCCAAATGCCTTCAACAGACACAATGAGTTCCGAGCAGGCTCAAATTAATAGACTATGAGATCTATGAAATTCAACTGGCCACTACATTGCTTATCTCGAGATTGGAATACTTTCAGATTAATGTTAAAGGGTAACCGAATTGCTTATTACTAGCACCTAGAACGCCAAATGAGAGTCTATGCAATTTTTAGGCGTTTTAGGCGTTTACAAAAGAAATTAATTTATTATATATTTTATAAAGTGTAATATATAAAATTACATGGTTTGTTAATAAATAATAAAATTTATATATTATAAATTTTAAATATATATATTTAAAATTTAAATTATACATAAAAATAATAAAAAAGTCTTATAATTATCAAATATAAAACGTTTAGGAAGTAACCGCCACAGTCTATAAACGCGTAGCACCTAGACAAACGATCTATGAACGCTTAGCGCCTAAGCAGTTCCTAAGCGGTCGCCTACACCAACTTTTAGAATACTGCTTATTACTAGATTACCAGATATAAATTGTCTGAACTTTCAATACAGATTTTCCACAGACTTCCTACACAAATGAGATTTTTGTTTCTAGAAAGATTTGAACCCGGAGTGGAGCGTGTAACGTATTCCCAGACTTGCGCCCCTTGGACCACATATGTGTGGGCAAAAAGTGGAAATAAGTTTAAGGAAGTTTTAATTTCCACCATTGTTTAAATCTTTTGCATAATAGTATTATATTATCCAACCACATCAGTTTATTTATTTTTAACGTTATGTGGGTAGATTGCTTTGTGTATATGGTAGAAGTCATCATAAGAAAACAGAATTTTAAAAAAGCTTTAAAAGTTTGGTGACAGCTCATATTCTCTAGAAAAAAGAGTTTGTTTTTTCCTCTACGATCATTCATCTCTGGAATATGCAATTTTTCTTGAAGAAAAGCCACCAATTTATTTAACAGCATATAATTAAGAGTAAACAAAGTAAAGTTATTTTTTTATCGCTGAATTTTATTGATGATGAGGAAATAAACAAAGAAGCAATACAGCACAAAGCAGATTACTCTTTATCAAAATTAAAATGACACAATAGTCCCATTACGAATTCGGAATTGGCATATCGGCTGTAATGGCTTCTCTTAGCCAGTGAGATTCTCCCAAAGCAACATATGATTGCAATCTTCCTTCCACTACCACACTCTTTGCAATTAAGAAGGCACTCTTATTGAAGCGACGACATTCAACCTCCCACTTCCACTTAGAGTGATCACTCATGGCATTCCAGAGAAGGGCCGATTGAGCTCGGAAAGCTGGCTATAATTTTGGCTTTTCAATAGCTCCAATCAACTCTGCAACTTCTGATCCAAAAATGCAATTATGAATGTGATTGCTACACATGCTTTCAATAGCCCAAAGATTACCCATGACTTTTGCTTCATTCAGGTTGGTTATCGTGGTAAAGGATCGTTGATTGTGAAGAAGAACTTTGCCGACAGAGTTCTGTATTATCCAAACAGCAGCAGCAATTTGATTTCTTCTCGACCAAGCTATTCCAATGTTGCATTTTAAATACTCTGCATCAGGGGGTTTCCACTTAGGCTCCATAACTTGTGAGCCATCTCCCTCCATTACAACCCTCCCATCATTGTTCTGCAATACAAACCACTGATTTGAACCTTCCCAGATTTTCCCAGCTGTATCAACTGCTGTAAAAGATCTTCCTTCATATAATAATGCATTCCTGTTCTTCCAAATTTGCCATAAAATCCAGGGAAAACCTCGACTTATTTCCTTTGGAATATCCTTATCATCTAAGCATCGAAACAAGTGTGCAAAGTTCTCATATATAGACGAATGTTGAAAACCTTCTAAGGGAAAGGGGAAGTTCGCCTGAGCCCATACTTGCCTCGCCACAGTGCACTCAAACAACACATGATTGATAGATTCACCTTCTTGGCCGCAAACTTGATACATACCATCAACTTTTATTCCTCTGTTCTGTAAACCATCGTCCACACTTAGGGCCCCAGATAAAGCTTTCCACATGAACATCTTGATCTTTGGAGATGTTTTCACGGACCAAACCTTGCTTTTTAGAGGATTGATTGAGGGCATGGCTAGAGCTTCCTTCATAGCATTCGAAGGCTTGAGTTTCCTTCCTAACCAGTACTCAGAACGCACAGAATAATCACCACATCGATTATAAGCCCATTCCCAGGCATCCTTTTAACCAACTGCAGGTCTCTGTTTCATAATGATGTCAATGTCCCCAGGAACAAAGATCTCTTCAAGCTTCCCCCTATCCCAAGTCTTTGATTGAGGGTCGATCAGCGTGTTCACTTTTAGGTTCAAGTCCCAAAACAGAGCTCTTCGAAATGGAGTCCTAGGAGTCTCGTCCACTATCCAGCTATCCAACAACACATTGATTGTTTCTCCTGATCCAACCAACCTCTTAAGGCCTTTCTCTAATAGTTCTCTTCCATAGATGATGCTACGCCATGCAAAGGACGGCTTGCTTCCTATAATGGCCCTGAGAAGATTAGAGTGGGGGGGGGGTAGTACCGACTCTGAAGTACCCTTGAGCATAAACTTTTAGGACAAGTTAGTAATCTCCAAGCTTGTTTGGCGAGCAATGTCTGATTAAACAGCTCAATCTCTTTGAAACCAAGTCTACCAATGTCCTTTTCCAAACAAAGTTTTTCCAAAGACGCCCAACAAATTTTCTTCTTGTCTTCCTGAGCATTCCACCAATAGCTGGACATAGCACTTGTTAAATTTTTACATGTAGTCTTAGGCAATCTGAAGACCGACATAGCATAGACTGGCATGGACATGACCACTGATTTCAGTACTTCCTTGCCACCTTGGGATAAAAATCTTCCATACCCACCTTGAAACTGAGACTTCATGTTTTCCCCAATATAACTAAGCTTTTCCTTCTTAGAGCCACTAAAAAATTCTGGGAGTCCCAGATATTTTCCGGCACCTCCTTTGTTGACTATGCCCAGTTTGTCTTTGATGCGCAGTTTGATAGCCTCATCAACAGAACTTCCGAAAGTAATAGAAGATTTGTTGAAGTTTATCAGTTGCCCTGATACACGCTCGTATTCCTTAAGAACGCCAAAGATTTGATCACTTTCTTCCTTATTAGCCTTACATAAGATTAGGAAATCATTCGCAAAAAGAAGATGGTGTACAGCCGGTCCTTGCACTGAAAATTGGATGCCATGTAATCGTTTATCTGATGCTGCCTTCGCCATCAAGAAAGAAAGGCACTCCGTGCACATATCAAAAAGAAAAGGTGACAAGTGATCACCTTGGCGTAATTCACATTCCGGTTTGATCATATTATGGGCTTCACCATTGATCAACACAGAGTATGTTACTGATCGCACATAGAATATTATCCAGCTAATGAATTTGTTGTGAAAACCAAGTGCAAGAAGCAAAGCTTGGAGATAATCCCACTCGATGCGATCATATGCCTTAGACATATCAGTTTTAATTACCATATCTTCCAGGGAGACTCTCGGATCAGTTCTTAGGGCGTGGACCATATCATGAGTGATGAGCATATTGTCTGAGATAAGCCTCTCCACAACAAATGCTGACTGGTTTGGTGACACAATTATCTCTAGCCACAGTTGAAGTCGTTTGACAAGAATCTTCGACACTGTTTTATATATGATTGAGCAGAGGCTTATCGGTCTTAAGTCAACCATCTTCTTCGGTTTAGTGATCTTGGGGATCAAAAAAATTTGGGTATAATTCCACTCCACCGGAAAATTCCCCGTTTCAAAAAAAAATCTTTGACTTCTTCAATAACTTGGGGGCTAAGAATGTCCCAATAAGATTGGAAAAAGAGACCATTCATACCATCAACACCCGGTGCACTTGATCCCTTGATTGAAAAGACTGCTTCTTTAATCTCCGTAGCTGTCCCCTCTTAATCAAGCTTTGATTCATCCGATCAGTAACCCTTGTCTGGAAACCCTAAAAAGAACCATCAATAGCCCCATTCCTCGATGATCAAAACAGAGAGTCAAAGTAATTTCCAGCCACAGCTCCCATCGATCCTGATGATGTTTTCTTGTGACCTTGATCATCAATCAGAAACTCAATTTGGATTTTATTCGTTGGGATTTAACTGACGCATGGAACCACTTAGTGTTCTTATCTCCACATTAAACCCATTTTTCTTTGCATTTCTGTTGCCAATAAGATTCTTCTTCCTGATATGCCTTGGCACTTTCATGTTTCAGCCCTCTCATGACATCAAATCGAGAATATAACAAGGAATCATCTATCTCCAGCTCCTATCTCAGTTTCATAATTATATCCATCAAATTACTGTTGTTCTCGTGCTTCCAACTACTTAGAGATTTCCTGCACTTCCAAAGCCAATCCATAAGGCTTAGAGGAGCTGTTTGATGATTCCCAAGCCAAGCTTTCCGTATAGCTTCCTTTACCAGGGGTTTCCCTATCATCCTTCGATCAAATCTAAAGGAACCTCACACATTGCTCTGCCAATTCATCAGATTGACAAGCACCGGCTTATGATCTGAGCCAAGCTTCTCCAAAAACACTTGATTTGCCTGAGGAAAACACTGTTTCCAAGCCTTATTACCAAAGCATCTATTGTATCCAATGGGTTCCACTTATGCCGGACCATGTAAATCCATCACCAGCTCCTATAAGCTCATCCATTTCATAGGTTCTAAGCATTTCAGCAAATGCTTTAAAAGAGTTATCACTTCTCTTGGGACCTCCTATATTTTCCCCATTGTGCAAAATCTCATTGAAATCTCCAACCATACACCAGTTCTCCTTCCGTTGAACACCAATCATCATCAATCTTTCCAACACATGGCCTCGCCCTTTAACCTCCGGTTCACCATAAACAAAAGAAACATAAAATTCAAAGGAACCAAAATGTACAAGACAGTCAATGAGATGTTTGTCTGCAAACTTCACACCCACCATCACATTATGCTTAGAAAAACTGCTAAACCACCACTCCAACCCACTAGATCCACCGTATAAACCTTTTCATAACCCAACCAAGCCTTCATGTCCACCAACCCATTCCTACAACGTTTCATCTCCATTAAAAAAAAAAATCAGAGAAATGTTTTTCACGTAGTTCTCTGAGGCGGGGAATTTTCAAGTCTTGTGCCCGGCCCAAGCCTTGAGAATTCCAGCTTAATAAGCCCATTTGGGACCTCCTCAGAGTTTGTATGCCTAGCGATTTTAGTAAAGACCTCTGCCACCTCTGCCGCTTTTCTCTTTGGAGAGATACCCATGTTTGGCTTCTTCCTCTGTTCCTTCTCCTCTCCAGCTCCACTTTTTCCATCTCTTTTTGGAGTCCTCAGAGACCTTAGAGGCTTTCTACGACCTTTAGCTCTCTTTGAAAAAGTCCCTGAAGAACTCGCTTCAGAGGAACTCGCTCCAAACACCATCATACAATCTTGAAAAAGTGGTGATTCTGCAGTAAAAGCATCCCCAGTTTTTCCTCTCATAGTCGCTTCACCCCTTGCCAAACTTTGAGGTGCCCCACCTGCAGCTATAGCTGCTGCCATGAGTTTCTCACCACCGGTATTCAGGTTATTCCTAGAGTTCACTTCACCAATCAAGGCATCTCTGTCTCCCACACTTTCATCTTTGGATGTAGTCTTAAGTTCCTCGCCACCACTAATCAGAGTTCCAGTGCCTCGCAACTGACCCTCTTCCTCACACACAAAAACAGGGTCAATCCCTTTATTGATATCCGAGGTGACCGTTGGCCGGCCTTCAAGGTGAAGCATGAACCTTTGCCCAAGTTATCTGTTTCCAACTCCTTAAGGGATTTCTTAACCCTATCTTCGCGTATAGACCTCTCTGTGTCTTCAGCCACAAGTAAATACTCTCTCATACCCTAGAGAACACTGGGATCAATCCTCTCTCTGCCCGTCATTGGATCAACTCCCACTTGATTCCCACTCACCACCCCATAGAGAGGATCATTAGAAGAGATCACCACAGCTTTACTCTGCTTATCGCGAAGAATGCTCTGTCTTCAAGCCAGAGCCTGATCCTTACGTTGCTGACTAACCCATAGACATTTATATTTCTCGTGTGTTAAGCGTAGGCAGGCAAAACAACGCTTCTGAATCCTTTCAAAATCATACCACACAGTAGTTGACCCCCCTTTCAGAAGATTCACCACTTTGGACTTCCTTACTGGTCGTGAGATATCAAACTTCACTCTCACCCTCACATAGTCATTCCTCTGTGCCTTTTCTGGATCGAAAGCCACTTCTTCCACCTTATCGACAATATCACCCAGAGCCGTGATAGATTCCAGAGTATAGTAGTTCATTGGTATTCTTCGAATTTGCACCCATACTAGGAGATGTTGTAGATAATCCTCGGGAGGATTTTCCACCCATCGGTCAATCACTACAGACCATTCGTTGAAAATCCAAACACGCTTCTTCATAACTTCCTCCAGGTCATGTTCATACTTGAATATGAACTAAAACGGTCCTCCGTAAGAACAACCCCTCGAACACAATCGTATACTTGCCACTTCCTCGGCATATCCCTGATCAGATCAGCCATGTTCTGACAAGTTGGGTTCAAGGTACCACCCATGATGCTCATAACATTCCGTTCACTCGAGCAGTATTGTGGCAAGTCAGGGAGGTTAAAGGGCACATCCTCCTCCTCTTCCAACGACAGTCCCATGAAGGCTGTGTCAATGTTCGCTATGATATCAAAACAGAGCACAATAACTCATAGGTTTTCTTTTCAGAGAAGAATACTTTTGGAGTTCTTAAAACCAAAGGCGGCGTCAGAAGAACCCTTAATGAAGAACCCTAAATGAAACCACCAAAAAGCCTTCACAAACAGGAAAATCTTCCTATGATTCACCAAAATATTGTAATGATACGAGAAAATCACGACAAAAGGGGAAAAGACCCAGCCAATAGCTCCACTTTCCTTATGAGTCAAAGACTCTTTTTGAAAGGGAGAGACCTAAGTGAAAAAACTTTTTAGCGTTGCTTGCTGTTGTCCTAAAAAAAGTAGAGTTTAGACGCTTACATTTCATAAAATAAATAAATTAAAAGATCCAGTTTGGGATGATGATTTTTTTACACGACAAAAGAATGGCTTGTGTTTTCATCCCAAAAAAGAAGAAGAAAAGAATGGCTTGTTTTTGTCTGCAACATTCATTTCATAAGTAGTGAAGAACAAAAATCCCTAATCTTTTTTTGTGCTTTTAAAAGTTAAATTTGAATCCTAAAAAGATATAAAATTCTTAAAGCAAATGATGTACCGCAACAATTTTCTTGAAGTAACCGAGTCGAATGTTAATTTAGAGCAAAAAAAAGAATGTGTTAGAATTACACACCTTAGTTTAATCTGAATATAATACTTTGTATGACAACTAAAAATGTTCAATAATGAGTGGATGTCCATAAGACTATAACATAGTAAGAGTAAGACGAATATGCAAATGAAACACCATAATGAGTAACATCTCGTACCCAACATGGGACAAAACTTCCTTGAACGTCTTAAACTTCATACACCTCTGCTTCATTCTAATTGATTTCATTACAGCCCTCACATTCACTTCATCATATTCTTTGCAGTATCGACAGATTAACATACACGGTATTCGACTATCAATCTCGACGGATCCTTATACTACCCACTCTACAAATATATTCTCTGCTCCATTTACATCGCCTAGCTTCAACAAAGCGCTAATTGTAGTTTGATATCCTTCGTTACCTGCCTTTGCCTTCTTCTTGTACTCATCCCAAAGACGGTACACTTGTTTTTATCTACATGTTGTCTCTATCGCCTTTAGTATTTGACCTGATCTCTCGTAAGCATTCGCCATAGCAACCATCGTCCTTGTTTCAATCTTGTTTTTCTTGTTCCCATCATGATACTCTCTTTTATACTTCTCCATGCTCACTATGTTTGTTTCATCTGCGTACATCTCATAAACGTTGTTCATCGTGAGACCATCAGGCTCTACGTTGTTCTCCTTCATCTTACGTTCAAGTTTCTCGACCTTGTTTTTTTTTACCTTTCTGACTATAGAGAGATATCATCGAGCTGAACGGGGAAGCTTGTTGCATAAGGAACCCTAGATCGTCCATCTTCTGAAAAACGTCATTGGCTTTATCTAGGGTTTTGTTGGATCTTGTGTACGAGGTTAAGAGCGTGGAGTAGAAAGAGTAATCCTAAGTTCTCCGGAGTGCTGCTTTCGAAAAACTTCTCTACTTCTTCCAAACCCAATACATTGTTAATCATATCAAGCCTAGCTGCATGATCTTCTGGAACAAGGTAACAACCCCCTTTTTTTTTGCACTACCACTCCGATGCTTCGAGTGCTTTAGAGAACTGGTTTGAGTCATGTAGGTTCTTGATGAGGTCTCTTAACTCATACAGGTCCACTTGATTCCTCTTATTCCCCATCTCTTCCAGAAACAGAGTGATGGGTCAAACAAATCCTTTGCTCCTCATAGTCGTGTTCAACAAGTTATCTGCCTTCTCCACCATTCCCTTTTCGCGGTAAGCTGATGCTAACATAGTTGGGACTCGGATATCAAACACAAGATCTGAGCACGCCCATTCATTGTAGTAGATCTCTTCTGCTCCTTTGATATCATCTAGCTTCAAGGGAGAACCAATCAAAGCTCCAATCCCTTCGTTATCAGGCTTTCCCGCAATCTTGACAAGATTCCATATGCGATAAAAATCTTTTGTCTCTCCTGCTTCGACAAATAGCCTCATGAGTCCCTCGTAGGACTCATGATTACTCTTTTCTACGAAGCATCTCTCTCACTTTTACCTTTAAACCATCTTTCAGATAAGCCTTTGCCATGTCGAGTCTTGTGAGCCAATCAAGCAATGTTGTAGTTGCTTCACCAGAAAGAAACTCCTCCATTGTAGCTATGTCGGATACATCAGCATAGACTCGCAAAGCTCTGTTCAAGGCGAGAGTATTGAGCTTAATGCTGCTCTCCTCATCTCTCAAAAAATCTCATCGACCTTGTCTCAATTCCCGAGAGAGATATAGATGGTGGGCCTCAGGGTCACATGTCTTTTGCAAGCCCGTTGGTCCGGAGTTTTTAATTTATAAAACCCTAATGTCTGAAAGTGCACAGATGTACATTGTAAAACTTAGAGTGTCAATTTACAGGGAAGATGTCTAATCTGCAAGGAAACACCAAACTGGGATAGTAAGCAAAGTCATAAACTCATGGGGGTTTGGGGTTTTTGGCTACGGGATCTGAAACTAATCATAATCTAATATTTACGGAAAATTAAATGCAATGCAAATGAGTTGCTAAAGAAATAATTGAAAGGTGCTCGACTCAAACTAAGGACTCTAGACAAATAGTGGGCGATTTAGACTTCTCTGGTTTATTCTAATCGATGTCAAAGCATTTTCAATTAGCTTTCAGGCGATTTATCCTTATCTATTTCTGGGATCTGCATGGAACTGGTGTAGGTGTGTGTATGATTAACCAACTCTCGTCATCTTAACCAACTAATTACTTAAATCTGACAATTAACTCTTGCTCTCATGCCAGGAATAAATCATGCATTTACTACAGAATTTGTTTGCTCACATCTTCTCTATAGGTAGCTCTCGACTCCTGTAGCGACTATGTTCTTCTGAAGCTAGGTATGGATGATCTGATACAGCACTCTTGTGGCTTTGAACGATCCTAGGCTCAGAGAATAGGTCATGAATCTATCCTCATGCAGTATGAACAACTTAGAACAGATGAGATCCAAAATATGGTTTAGAAACTTAGAAATCCTAATCGAACTTGTATACCTATCAAAGACTCTTTAGCAACTTAACTTTCTGGGAAAAATCTACATGATGCAGAAAATGAAGACATGAAAAAATGCATAAGATGAAATAGAAAAGCTAATTAAATAAAAAGGAGATGGATCCAGAGAAAAATCTCCTTCTCCATCGCCTAACCCTAAGAAAACAAAGTTTGGTAGCTCAAAAACTCATTATAGGAGCACACACCCGATTAGGACTGCTAAGAAATGTATTTATAGGTCCTAAGGTCTTACAGGTCTCATTTAGGGCTTCTCTGCAGAGAAATAACAAAATGGACTTTCATGTTGGGCCTTGTGGTTTGGCATAGGTCCACCGGGGGTGAGAGTCTTTCGTGGCAGGTGAATTGCTTGTTTTCCACGGGTGAGAGTCTTCTAGGACTGGTGAATTTGGTCAAGTTGCTCTTCATGTATCTTTTGATTCCACCGTTGGATTGTCCTGATGCAAAATGCTATGGAAAGCTGGTTGTCTCCTCTTGAAAGTCTCCAAATTTTAGTTGGATCAGATGGTGAGAAAGTCTTTATTTGAGGCTGAAATTTCGATGGTCTGACTCTGAGCTAAAAGTGAATTTCTTCTTGCGTCTGCTTTGAAGAGAGCTGTAAATAGATTCACTTCTTAGATTCTACGGGATCGTCTTGAAGAACTTCTCTGCTTTTTCCAAACCAAATACGTTGTGAACTACAATAATAAAAGTTCTTAAAACTGATTAAAACCTTTGAAATTTTTTTTGAAATCAATGGTGAAAATGGGTACAAATACAGTGTTATCAATAGATTGAGGCCATCGAGCCGTCTGGTGAATGTCTCAAGAGCAAACCTAGCTCTCTCGTTTTCTTGAAAGCTGACTGGGTTTTTCAAGATTGTTTCTTCTTGCGTATCTGCTTAGAAGAGAGCTGTAAATAGATTCGCTTCTTAGATTCTCCAGGATCGTCTTGAAGAACTTCTCTGCTTTTTCCAAACCAAATACGTTGTGAATGAGATAAAACCGAGCTGTGAAATCTTCAGGGATGAGATTGCAAATCTTTTGTGTTACATCCAGTTTGATACCTCTAGGGCTTCATGGAATCTCTTGGAATTGTGGAGATTCTAGATGATTCCTCTCACCAAAGAAGGATTCAGTTGGTTCTTCCTCTGTTGTTGTTGTCGCCATTGCTCAAGCACTGTGGTGTTTTCTGCTTTCTGATCTAAAGCCAACTCGATTCGACCCTACAACCTATCTTTCCGAAAATAATATAAAAACGGAGAAGACATAATCTATCTTTTTGAAAGTAATGCATAAGCGGAGAAGGCATAGTCTATCTTTTCATTTTCGTAAACAATATATAAACTTTAGATCGACTAAATATAAATTTTATTATACTTTCTAAATGTATGAATGAATCAAGAATCGATCATGCTGATAACGTGTTGTGAAATATAATTTCGGCAAAATTTATTTATGTTAGAAAGATGAAACTAAAGAGAGAGGCTAGCTTAGAGAGAGTAAGAGAGGTTAGCAAAACTTTATTTATTTTCTATTTTATTCTCCATATATGGATAGTGGGACAAGACTTACAAATTAAGTAAATTACTTAGTGAAACAAATCACTCAGCTAAGTAAATTTAGAAATGAAGAAAATTTCTAGGTGACTTAATAAATAAAATTATAAATTTATTTCTAATAAAATCTACATAGAGGTAAGATGCAGAGTTTTATCAGTAGACAAAAGATAAACCGCTTATGGTTGTATTCGGGTTACTGGTGTTTAGCGATTTTTAACTTAGTTTTGTGGGTCAACAATATTGTATAATTGGACAAACAAATTAGCATAGAGTGCTCGACTCTATCTATAAGATGTTATTTATATAAACTCGATACCAGTGGATTGGATTTCTGAACAGTTTTAGATATCTAGACTATTGGAAAAAAAAAAAAAAACCCCAACAATGCACAACTGAACACTGTGTTCTAGATTGTTAACCGAACCGGATATGCATAAGGGTCGCCGTATAACCGGTCGGGTCCGGTTTTGACGATACTGGAACGATGTAAGAAGATTACAGTTTCTCCGGTCGGTTTGATATGTTTGTGATCGTGACTCATTTTCCTGACCTTTCATCTCTAAAATCTGACTCTCGACTTCTTCTTTTGATCTCACGGAGTCTCGAAATCGTCCAAGGTAATGCAAATGACATAACGCTTTGTTCAAGATTATTGGTTTCGAGGGCTTCTTGCTTCGATTTCGATCGATGCTTTGTCCGATTTTATAGGCTGTGTGATCTTCACTTCCTCTCACTCTCCCAAATCTTTCAGTAGATTGGCAGATTTGTGATTGTGTCTCTCAATTTCTGACTTTTTTTTATTTCTGTGATTGACCAGAGCCCAAATCGAGCTGTGTTTACTTCAATTCCGGTAAGCTTCTCCACTTCTTTATCTATCGGCTTTGGATTTTGATTATGACATTTATTATTAATGCAAAGCATCCAATCTGATTTAGTTTGCTACTTTCTTAGGTTTCGTGTTGTGTTTAGTTGCCTTTGCGTTCTGCAAGCAAATTTCTTTTCACTTACTTGTCAGATTTTTATTTTTCCAAACTTTGTGTCGATCTCAAAGTAGATGGATTGTGCTAAACATAGTCGTCTCCATTCTTGTGGAAACTTCACTTAGATTACTCTGGATGTGGTCCTTGTTTTGTTCTCTTCTTGTCGGTTTAAACATTTGAGGCGGGGTTTAGTTTTCTTGTAGACATTTGATCCTAAAAGATGCTTTCTTGTCGATGTCTATTTTGGAAAATATGATACTAAAGATGCTTTCTTCTTATTATGTTTGGATTACTTTTCTCAGCGCGTAACGATTTCATCGAAAAGAGAAGATAAAGATCCTAAATCTGGTGTAGAGTAACACCATTTCTAAGAGGTACCTTAACATGGTAAGAACCTTTGAATGTAATTTATCTCTCTACCTACATTAAGAAGGGAATTGAACTCTTCTCAACCTCTACTTTAAATTAGTTACTCTTCTGCAATAATTTTTATTCTTTTCATTCAAACGTGTCCTGTTTAGATACAATACTTCTAAACAACGTTTAATGCATTTGGTTCTTTGATGTTCCAGGCAAACCCATTACGGCTGTATCTAGCATGCATAAAAAACACACTCGAGGCAGCCATGTGCTTACAGGTACAAACGATTCTTTGTTCAAAATATCATGGCATTGGTTACAAAGTTCCATCTGTGTGGCTAAGTATGTTTAAGGCAATAAAGGATTCATGTTTTCGTTCTCCCTCATCCATGTTCGACCTCTGGTGTGTTACTTTCGCGTGTTAGTTGTTTACTTTTTGATAGGTATAATGTACCATCATTTGCTTTCACTTTTGGCATTTTGTCTCAGCAATATTTAGTGTCGAATGTCGAAAACTATGCCTTTTTGTTCCTGTACAACAGTACAAGTAGGTGAAAGGGGTCACGTAAAGTCCTTGTTAGATTCAGTTTTACATGGTATTATTCCTGACAGCGTCTATATTTCTCTACTTGCAGAACTTTCCTTGCCAAGAAGTTGAAAGGCATAATAAACCAGAGGTTGAACTAAAGTATGTAAGATGCATGTGAGAATGAGATGCTTCTGTGCTATTGTCATTTCAAGTAGTAGAATCTTATTATCACCATGTTTTTGATAATGTTTTGTAGGACGAGCCCAGAACTTTTGCTAAATCCTGTAAGAAGTTTATTTGTTTCCCACTCAGTCTAGCATTGATATTTCACTGTCTTCTTACATAGGTTTTGTAATTGACCTCTAATTTTTTTGCAACCTGCAGGTTTTGATATGCCTTAATGAGGCTGAAAAGTGTTTAATAGAAACATCTATAAATTCACTCCGGATAAGCCTCAAGGTGATTCTTAATCTTACCTTAGCTTCTCGCCTTCTCCTTCAATCAATTACAAGAAGAGCTCTTGGTGACAGATTGTTCAACAAAGGCTTTTTTGTTGTTTGCCTTTATGTACCAGTTTCTCTGTTTTTCACTGTTTCCCTTCTTTCCTTCTCCCGGGATAACGTCTTCATGAGTCGTGACTTAAATGTTTTTCGTGTCCTGCTGATACAAATACTCTTTATCGTTGATTTGAAGGTCAAACAAGCGGATGAACTTGAAAACATACTAACCAAAAAGTTCCTTAGATTTTTGTCCATGAGGGCAGAAGCTTTTCAAGTACTGAGGAGGAAGCCAGTGCAGGTAGACTGTTCTTCTTGATTCAACACTTAGTGCTACTATGTTTTATCTGGCAGTTGTAATCCATTCTTTCTTCCTTAGAATTCCCTCTACTAATTGGTTATATATAACGGACACCTGATTCATAATGTTTCCTTCATTTTAACTTTTGTGCAAACACTTTATAACTTCACTTTCTAAGCTGTGGATGATAGATGGTTTATACGTTCCACACCTGTGAATTCTTTTAAAAATTTAAACCATGGCACAATTATTTGACAAAAATGAATCATGAATCATCTCACTGTGCGGAAATGCCTTGGTTTTAGATGATTTATTGTTTATTGTGTGAACGATTGAGTTCCCTAATCCCCTTCAACTGGTTTATTTGTTGGTGTTTTGAACAGGGCTACGACATTAGCTTCCTTATAACAAACTACCACTGTGAAGAGATGCAGAAACAGAAGCTAATCGATTTCATTGTTCAGTTTATGGAGGCAAGTCTTTCTCGAAGCCTAATGTTTTCTTTTTATTCTATAACCTTGGTTGCATGCAGTAGTAGCATCCTAACAATGAAAAAAAGTCTTGAGTTTGCTTACATTGTCATGTTTTCTCACGAGTAAGACCTCGAGAAGTAATATTCAGAATATCATTAGTTAGAGGATATCATTAGTTACTCTGATGATATCCTCCAAGCATAGTAATCTCCTCTTAAATCATATTGAAAACTTGAAATGTGACTATTTGTAGTATGGAAAGTGCAGGATATAGAGAAAGAAATAACCGAGTTGAAGATATCAGTGAACACCAGAGGAAAACTCGTTGCTACAGAGTTTCTGAAACAGTTTATGTAAAACACTTGAGGTATTATAATGTAAGCCCTCATTGTATCTACTCATTATTTGGTTAAATTCATCTACAATTGTAATAAGTTTTTTCTTCTTCTTTTCTTCATTTTGCTACTTCCTCTGTTCTTCTTACACAACCTACTCATCGGCTTCGCGACTGTTGTGTATGTAATAGGATCCTTGTAAAATATGGGCTGTGTTGATGATAGATGATCTAACGTACAGTCTGAGAAACAAAAGGAATTGTTTTCTTTACCAAACGAAGTAAGCAAAAAAAAAAAAAAAAAATTATTTACCTCCCAAAAATTGTTATCTTTACCACAAAGGATTGAAATTTAGAAAGTTTCCCTATTACCACAAAGGAGTGAAGAACTATCGCAATTTTGGAAACTTGGGATAGTAATTAAGGGACACAATTAGTACTTTATAGCCATTCCTCTTTTTCTTTGTTTCAGCATGGCCCGCGCTAAGTATATAGTGCAAAGTAATTTTTTCTTAAAACTGTTTTGAATTTAGAGAAATATTAGTTATACCTAAATTTTATAATATGCCTAGATGATTATAGATAGAATTGTCAAACCGGTCTAGTTATCCGTTTTGCAGTGGATTAAAATATTATTTGACCTAATCCGCAAAAACCTATACTTGAAAATATAACTTTAATATGCAGTACTTTATGATTTTGGTTTTTATGGTTAGCCTATGAAAAATCATAGTGAAAAATATTGTAAAATGTCAAATAGATTTTTTTTTAAAATATATATATATGTATTGAATATTATTTAAAAGTATATAATATTTTTTTATATCACATATAAGTGAGTAAATTTATAGCTTTAAGTCCTCGTTCAATCTTAGAGTGGCTAATAACTCTTTGTCTCTCTTTAAAAAAAAACTGTTAAGTTGGTTCAAATTAAATTTTATAAAAAATACATTAAAAATCAATAAAATGGTTTAAATTAACTTATGTAATAAATTACGAGTATTGTCTCAAATTATTATCATACTGACTTCTTATCTCAAATATATTATAGAATTATTGTACCGGGTAATTTATAACCGGTGTATTGTCGAATTTATAACTTTAAATTTTTTCTGAGTCTTTTAGTTTAAAAAATCCAAATTTTCCATGGGTCGTTTAGTTTTTTTTTGCCGTTAATTTATCATTTCATTAAAGAAAAATTACATAACCCACTGAATTACAAGATTTTGCAAAGTTTTCCTAGCTTTTTTTGCGAACTCATCTGCATATATATTTGCAGTCCTATTAATCTTCCGAAAAGTGAAGCCACATTGTGAGGATATGTGTTCAACATCATTTAAGTAAGTTGCCCAAGGACAATGTGACCACAAAGTTTCCTTCATTTGGCTTTGATGTTGTTGAAGTGCACCATAAAGAAGTTGAAGATCTCAACAGAATAAAACATTTTATGTCCAAGCCGTCAAAGATTAAAAACTGCAGTACACAATGCTTCTGCTTCAGTTTAAATAGATGATTGTGTTGGTGGAACTGCAGATGAACCCTGAAGAACACGCCGACCATTTCTGCCATATAAAACTCATCCTATACCTACTTCATTATAATTGGAAATCCAGGAGGCATCCACACAACAACATAATTGATTTGTTCTTGGAAAAATATGCTTTAAAGAATTCACATTGTTTTGATGTTCCGTTGATCGCATAGTAGCACGATTTTCCTGCAGTTGATATAACTCTTGATTTTGAGACTGTATTGCCTCCTTCCATAACTTCAAATCCATCAGCGCCTTAGCAATTACCTGAGGTATAGGCCACCGTAAATCATTAAATATGACATCATTCCTCTGTTTTAAGATTTGCCAGTTTAATAAATGAAACAATATAAGCTGAGAAGGATCATGAGATTAGCTTCAACAAAAAAGATATAGATGTCACTTAAATCATGAGATTCTATAACATGGTAAGGTGGTTTCAGTACTGGAGTTAACTCCCATACTTCTCTACTTACTCGACATTTGAAAAGGAGATGTTCAACAGTTTCTTCTTCTTCTCCACATACTTGGCAAGTGCTGTCTTGCAGAATTTGTTTTCTGTTTCAACTGCCTTGCCACTGGTAATGCTGTATGAAAATCCCTCCACCATATTGTTTTGCTTCCATATCGTTTTATAAATATGAATAGGAGTAGAAGAAGTCTGACCTCGTTTACAACGAAGTAAGTTCTAGCCAGGTCTCACTGTGTAATCTCCATTCTTAGTATGTAACCATGTTACTCCATCCTTTGCTCCAGCTAGAGATGGCTGTATCATTTTGATCAAAGAAATATCTGAAGGATCACAAAAAAGCTTGCAACTTGAAATCATCCTACAACTGTGATCCTTCAACAAACAAATCACAAACTTTTAGAATAAGAAAGATACTTGCACCTGGGCTTATACTTGCCATGGATCTTTTCAAACATGAATCTCTTTAACAATGCCCACAATCCATTTGACTCCTTGCTTTAATAATTTATTGCCCTTCAGTATGCTACGCCAAGCATAACTGGCTGGCTATTTATGCTTTGCAGTAAAGAGAGTGTCCTTTGCGTACTACAGCCTTGTACACCCTCGCTAGCAGAGATTTTGGATTCTGTATCAAACGCCAACTCTACTTAGCCAACAAAGCAATGTCAAAATCACGAAGATCCCTCATTCCAAGTCCGCCAGATGACTTCGGATCAGCCATTTTCTCCCAGGATATCCAATTAATGACTCCTTTATCTTTCTGGGAAGACCACCAGAATTTTCGAGTAGCTGCCTCTATCTGCTTAATAATTTTAAAAGGAAGTAAAAAGCAAGTCCTACAATATGTAGGTAATGCAGTTACTATAGACTTCATTAGAACTTCTTTTCCAGCAGGTGATAACAATTTAGAGTACCAGTTTTCCATCTTCTTTGCTACTCGTATTTGTTTTATTCTGACCAATGCATTCAGATAGCCCTAAGTACCTTCCAAAACCACCATCCTTGGTAATTTTAGTGGTTTGTAATATGTAATCTTTCAATGCAGGAGACATACCTTTAGTAAACATAATTGCAGATTTCTGAAAATTTACCGCTTCCCCAGAAGCTTGCTCATATCTGGTGAGAATTACCATCATATCATCAGATTCAGTTGCTGTTGTCTTACAAAATAAGAGTGAATCATCAGCAAATAACATGTCACTGATGGCTGGTCCACCTTTACTTGCCTTAAACTCCGTAATATGTCCCATATGACAAGCTTGATTTATCAGATAAGGTAAACCTTCAGTAGAAAGTAAATAGATATAAGGTGAAAGAGGATCACCTTGTCTAATACTTCGGTTAGAAATGATGTATTTGGTTGGACTTCCATTAATTAAAATCGAGTATGAGACCTGTAAGCTCCACCTTCTTTTTCATAGGGATGTTTGATATCATTGAAATCTCCAAGAACCAATTTTGGCTTGTCTCTGTACCAACCTGCATTCACCTCTGCAATCATTCTATTCCACTGAATTTTTCTTTCCTTCAAAGTAGGATGCCCGTAATAAACATAAGTTAAGCAAAATATATTAGAACCATCAGAAATATACATATCTGAGTTATGAAGAGAAACATGACCTATGGTTAGCTCAATATGAACATCCCAAAATATGGCTAACCCTCCACTAAGCCTATTAGATGGAACAAAAAAATAATGAGCCTACGCAAGCTCCTTACATAAGTTATTTACAACATCTGAACCATTTTTTGTTTCCACGAGGAACATAATATCAGGCTTCTGAGAATGCCTAATATCTTTCAGATACTGAATAGTCAGGTTATTCTCCGATCCCTGACAATTCAGATGAAAAAGCTTCATGGCTGAGTGGATGGTTTAAGGGAAACCACTGAACCTTTCCCAATTGTTAGCTGACTGGTTTGTCGTTTAGAAGTAGAGGGTTGAGAAGTTGTAGCTGAGTCTCGCTCCTTCTGCTTTAGATTATTGTCATGCGACTCAATTGCTACATCACCACCATCAGAAGGAGAAATTCTGTCAAGATTTTTCCATTAAATGATCATAGTTTAGAATTTTATCAAGATTTTTCCATTTATGTTTATTAATTCTCATTTCATTTAACATATTTCTCTAAAATCTACGTTATAAGAAACATAAACTAAGTTTTTGATTTGAAATTTAACTTGTAACACCCTAACCTGGATTTTACTCTTTAACTAACACTTAGTAAAATTTCGGTCCAGATTTTACTTAACATTTTCTTTACTTTTTCGCATTTGGTTCGTTTAGACAAAGACTTAGCTGTGCATAAGTGGATTAACAACCGAATGCTTGAATTAAAATCGAGGTTCCAGTACAATGACCAGGGTCCCTACATTCACCTAAAATGTCTTTGGCGGAGTTTTCCTACAACAACAGTTATCAGACGAGCATTGGGATGTCGCCTTATGAAGTGTTGTATGGTCGGTCTTGCCGTACACCGCTATTCTGGACCTAAGTGGGGGAGCGCAGCATTTTTGGTCGAGAGTTTGTGGAAGAGACGACCGAACAAATTAGAGTTTTGAAACTTAAGATAAAAGAGACTCAGAACATGCAGAAAAGTTATGCAGATAAGCGGAGAAAAGAGTTGGAATTTCAGATCGGCGATCAAATTTTTGTCAAAATGATCACTTACAAGGGTAAGGATCAGCCTGCCGCGACTGATAAGCTGCAGCCAAGGTACTGTTGGAATATTTGGAGATTAAGCGGAATAAAGAGATTCGAGAGAGTTTGTAAAAGAGAAGAGAGAAAGAGTTTCCAAAAGAGTGTGTATATTCATTATCGTCTTTGATACATATATAGAGGAGACAGAATGGAAACTAGGTTTAGCTAAGCTAGAATACAAAATAAAGTAGTTAGACACACTAATAAAAATGTGACTATTGAGTCTCTCCAAGGTAGTCAGCGACAGCTCTAACGGTCATGTGTGCAGACCAAAGAGACGTTAGAGCTGGAGGGGACCACCGTACGGACACCAACTCCCTCATTCCTTAAGTCCACACGTGATCTTCTTAGAGCTCAGACTTGGGCTTCTCAATATTATTAAAGACAGCTGACTATATTAAGGCCTTAATATATTGACCTAATGAAGATCAATACTCCCCCTCAAGCTCAAGTCGTAGAGAATCAAAGACTTAAGCTTGAAAACTCATGCACCTCACCTCATTAAAAACCTCAACAAAT